TGGAGTCATGAAGGATTTCACTCCTTGGCTCACTTTTACACATTTTGTTATTCCTTTGTTTAATCCTTCAATAGATGTCCATAGCTTTTAGGATCAAACCAAGATCTTCAGTTTAGCATACAAGACTATTCATAACCCTTGCCTCTCCCCTACATGAGCTCTCTAATCTAATCATAACAAATGACTTGCTGTTCCCTGCTATTTCGTGCTACTCCATGCTTCTGTGCCTTTATACACGCCTTCATCTAGGTGGTAGATCTTCTGTCTGGTCTTACTGGGGCTCACTCATATACTACGGTTAGCTGGCCATCAATGGCCTCATGCTGGTTGTCTATTGGGCGGACAGGGGTAACAATACTTGTATTTCTCATCATTGAGCAGGCTAACCCAGTCTTGCTTTCACGGTGGTCTCAGGGTTCTCAAGAGCAGCAGAAGACAGCGAGTTCCAATGCTCAAGAACGGGTCAACTCTCTGCTGGCACCACAGTTGCTCCTGTTGCAAGTCTGATGACCAAGAGCAGAGTCAGGGTGGGAGGGACCTGCAAAGGCCAGGGACCCCAAGGGGCCACACTACTTAACGTTCTATGTTTCACCTTCTCTTTGTTAATCCGTTCATTCATTCATTCCATGACTTTATGGATACCTCCTATAAGCAAAGCCCTGGGCTAGGCACCAAGGGTGCAGAGTCTTCCCAGTGCCTGCAATTTATGTTCAAAGACTGACGCTCGAAGACCAGCACATCAATAAAAGTAATGCCAGGATTTATAGAGGTTCCATGGGGTAGGGTGGGCCTGAGACAGCCTCTCTGCATTCTTTACCATGTCTGCAGAAATTGCTAGCTTGTTACTCAGGATTATCTATTAATAGCCTTTTCCCCCCATAAGGATAATAAAAAACCAAAATATAGAAACAAGACATAAAATATCTTCAGTGTGTATATTTTAAAAATTGTAATTGGAAAGTCACTATATTTCTTTGGTAGCTTATAAATTCAAACATGAAATTGCATGAAAACAGCATTTCCACTAAATAGCCAAATGCCAAAGGTAGGTTAGAGGAGCAGTTAAATTTTAATCCTTAGGCTCCAAGTCATTGCTTGTTTATAGGAACAAATAGTTGCTTGTAACTTCAAGTTCATACTTGTGCAAATTATGCGGACTAAAAGTCCAAATGAAAATCCCTTTAAAAATAACTGTCTAAAGCTTCCATATTAAGTATATTTATTTTTTCCTAGGATTAGGACAGATTGCTTTGGGAGCCCAGTCTTTCATAAAGACGGGGGAGGGGAATAGAGTTGGGCCTTCGTTTTCTCACAAAAGGCTCAATGTGAAGCCCATCTGTGAACATTGCATAATTTGTTATGTTCTACAAAGAGGTGGGTTTTTGTTACACACATACCAAAGCTATTTGGTACTGTTTCACCAATGATCTCTATTCAGGTCCAGAAAAGAAATTGGCCTCTGAAGAGTGAAAGGAAAGTAAATTTTTCTTTAAAAATTAGATACAGATTATCACTTCAAAATGCAGGAGGGAATTTTACAAGTGAGGGTGTACTGATTAGCTTTCCAATGGACATCCAGTCCTTTATGAAACACATACTAGCTGTGGTCAACTGTGACCAATGTGGTTTATTACTCTCCAGAAGAGCTGAACTGAGATTACCCATCTAATTTAACTGAGAAATGTTGGGTGAACTTGAACTGTTTCATGGACATGAATGACCAGAGAATTTATTTGATAAGACATTAAAGGCTGAATGTGGTAACTGTCTCTTTGATAGTTTGATACAGTCATTTCTTTAGTTCATTAACATGTCTTTCATATTTTTTTGTGATTACTCTTCTGGTGATTACATGAATACCCTAAAAGAGAAAGGGAAAAAAAGGTTCTGTACAACATCATTACAAAAAATTAGAAACCGTATCTTTATTGGTAAATATTCATTACAGTTTTTATGGAGTTCAATCTTTAAAAAGTGACATCAGTTTTCAAGGAAAGGAAACTAACAGTAATTAAATTGTGGAAAAATTAATAAATTCACTGTTTTTTCATGTGATAGTTTCTAAATTATTTTTAAATATTGTCTTCCAATTTCATTAAGATCAAAAGATGTCATGAAGTTGACAGGTTATTCACCAATCCCCTTTACATTTTGTTGGAAACTGGGCAGGGTGAGCTATCATTGGTGGCATCTCAATGAAATATTATGGTGACTTTATCAGTAGTATGACATACAAGATGACAGCAGATGATAAAGTGCGTTCTCTTCATATGTCAGCTAACATTTAAGATCAAGTCTTCTGTATTCCCAACGGCTGATGCTAAGGTATAATTTGGATATATGCATAGTTTTTTACCGTATTTAAATTTTACACCTTTTAAATTATTCACACACACTCAGAGATAGAAACTCTAAGAGTAAATTACAAAATCACACTTCATGTTACTAGCAACTCTTTAAATGGAATTTTTCATTGAAACTTTGTCATTAAAAGAGAAAGGCCCTTGGGTTGTGCCCATACGAGCATAATAAATTGTATATGTTTGTGATACTGAATGACTCTGGCCCATATGCTGCACTGCAAAGCTACATGAATGAGGCATTTACCAAATCAGGCCCACCACATTAAACAGAAAAACAATCTTTATTCATGGTAACTTATCAGTTTCAATTAATCAACCTGAACAATGGAAATTCTGATGTGTTCAAGCAACTTGAAAGCAATAGGTCATCTCCAGGGCAGCCATGTTGTGCCTTTGTGCCTAAGGTTTCAAACAAAGCCACATCTCCAATAAATATACATATGTATACATACATACATGTGCATATATATACATACCAATGGATGACTACAGCTATGCCACGTCACGCCGATAAAAATGCATGTTTATTGTTTATGATTTTTATCATAGCAACTGTTTTCCTTCAAGTATTACTTTTTGAGCTCTGCAAGTTTAAACAAAAGGAAAGAAATTTCCATTGGATGACCATCCTTTCAGTTTCTGTGCTGCTATGTGAATAGCATTGTGCAAACCATTCCAATGGTTTTGAAAAGGGGTAACCATTGGTTTGATTTGGTTACACGGTTTAGTAAAGAGCTCCCTCCCACTGCCTTAGGGTCTGTGAAAGGTCTGTGACCTGTTTAGAACTGCCAAGTGAAATGTCATGTCGCCCCTCCCAAATGGGAGTATCTGCATTCATTTGATCAGTATAAAAAATGATTGGGGATGGCGAGATCAGTGCTTTTGAATTGCAATTTATAGCAGTTTACAAAAATGCACATTGTTGGAAAAGAAAACATGGAAGTGTTTCTTTCTAAATTGCATTACCTGTGAAATGTCATTAGTCTTTTAAGGATATTTACATCCTTTTTTTATTATTTAGGAGACTTATTTCAACTAAGGAAAATCAGAATTTTATTGCATTACCATTTTTTTAACCTGTTATTTTGCTTTTAATAGCAGAATTTAAGGAAAACAATGTGTCTGAATTCTTACAATAAACATAATTTGTATCATTTCCATTAATTAGTTCTCTAAGATAGTCTTTGCTAATCAGTTGCATTAGTAGAAGATTTCCAATTATCTTTCTCAGATTATAGAGGAGATTCATTTGTTGGTAAATGCTTTGTCTGCTGATTTCTAACAGTGAGTCTGAAATCACAGGCATCCTTAATTCAACCAGGTGTCCATCATTCCTTTAACATTTTACTACTGAAACTTCTTTGTCAGATGAATACTTTCGAAATTATGGTACCCATAGACTCGTTCACATGCATGCATAGTATCATAAAAGGAAATGTTATTTCGTTTGCATTAAATGTGTAAAAGAATACATGAACTTTATCCAAAAAGTTGACATAGGTTGCTCAAGTTCATAAAGGCTTAACGCGGCCACTTGAGTCTCTCGGGTGCAATGACCAATGCCCTTTATGCTGCATTGGGGAATCTTCAAAGCTCCATCTCTTCACCTTAGGCAGTGAGGAATTGGACATTATTTTGAAGAGTTCTTCATTTAGTAAGAAAAGTTACCTTGAGCAAAGGGCCTCAGAACCTCCCAGAGTCATAGTTGGCTGAAAAAAGCAAGGCCTCGCTTCAGAAAAGCTTTGCCCCAGATCGACTGGCTAGCACTCCACTTTGAACCTCCCAACCGCTGAAAGCCGAGGTTGTCACTTTGTTATCTTTGTTCCTGTCGAGCCTAGGAATGACAGCCTGGCTCTGTGTTCCCCTCTGCCACTGCCCAGGCTGTAAGTGTCCACATTGACACCTACCGGTGACCGCAGGCTGAAATTCTTTGTCGCCTTCTCCACGCTCCTGGCTTTCACAGGCATTAGCTCAGGGCCTTTGTTCCCCTTCAAAGCTGGAACATCACATCCCATGTTGTGGCTTTCCTGTCCCAGACCCCCAACGCTTTCCTCACAATTTACACACCAGGTAAACGTCCCTCCCTACAGAGCAGGGAGCCCAGCCTGGGGGGCGGGGGACACAACCTCCCCATCCCCCAACTTCACAACCCCTGCCAATTTGGTTTTCTTCCCTCTCGTGTACAATTTTCTATTTCATATGGGGGGAAGATTGAAAATGCAAATGGAAATGTAAATCTTAGTTAGATTCTTGGACCCAAACACAAGACAACCCGTCCATTTTTAATTCTTTTACCACGGCTCCTAATTCTAGGGAGGGAACTCTCAGTAGAAGGTCATTTACTGACCCTGGTCACAGGCACCCAAGACCATTTCTACAGTCTGGGGCGGCAGGAGAACTCTCTCCGAGGAAAACGTGGCTGGCACACGCTATTTTGAAGGTCAAGGAGGGTCTGACCCCGTGATCTCCCCACCCCACCCCCACTTCTCCGGGTTACCGAAGAGGCCCCCCAGCTGGGGCCAGGCCTGGGAGGACCCGCTAAAAGTGAGGCAAACAGCTACGGGGGAGAAGTGGGGAGTGGTTCATGTACAGTCACCAAAACAAATTTCACATCTATTCATCTTTCCATATTTTTAGCGAGGTTGTCAGAAACCCTGGAAAAAGAGGCTTTAGAGAAGCCATCGATACCACAGAACACCCCGGTGAACGACATGGATGCTACTGAGTAACGGGGCAGACCCCTGGGCTGCGCAGAGTGGGACCACAGAAAGAAGGCCCTCGCCATCCTGGCTGTGGGGCCTGCCTCCCCGGCGAGGGATACCATCTCCAAGGCGTTTCTGAAACAACTGTTCCGTCTCTCCGGATGATGTACGCTAACGCGAGCGCAGCTCTTGAGAACGCGAAGCGCGCCCTCTGTGCGCACCTTTCTGGGCCCTGAAGGACACCTTGCTCGCTGCTGCTGGGGGAGTGGGGCGCACGGATCCTGAAGGGCCGCCAAATCCATGCCGGCGTTCCCCAGGCTCAGCAGTGTGCCCCGGCGCCTTATGGTGGGAAGGAACGGACTTCAATTAAAAAGTTTAAGGCACTAAATTCGTTTCACTCCCTCTCTAACCCATCTAGTCTCTCTATAACACGAAATCAAATGACTTGCCGCCTCCTTGTCCGCCACCTAATCCCGCTGAAGGGTAACCGTAATGCCTCGAAAGGGATGTTAAATTTCCTCTAGGGCGGTTCACTCTTCTCTGACATCCGCACGGGGCTCCTGGCCGTATCTGAAAAGCCATGAACAATTCGTTAGTATGTGGGGAAACTCTAGAGTCTTGCTTCTCGGTAAGGATCAAGATCCAGATTCACGTACCTGTTCTTTCCGGAATGTCAGGTACCATTCATTGAAAGACTGGTTTGCTTTCTTCCGTGCGTAATGTTCAACTTGATCCTTTCTGTTCCCCTAACTACAAGTTAGGCCCAGACTCTAGCCCAGTTTCAGGATCGTAGACTCTGGATTACAAATTTCTAAAGCTATTTATTAAATCTCAAGAAATATATTTGTGGTAGCTGTCACATAAAGCTGATATATTCTGGCGCAAAAGAAAGCTAGAGAGGCGATTTATTTGTGCGTAAAAGGCACTACATTTAATTGGAGCGAGACTTGTTACTTTCAACGCAAGTACATGGGGTGGCATAGCGCCGTGGAGCATTATTCGAGCTTCATCTCCTATGCACTATATGCCACCGTCTCCAAAGCGGTGTTGCCCTAGAAACTTGTTTTAAATCTGCTGCTATATATCAACACCTTGTTTTAGCAGTCCTTGGCTGAATTACAGTTACACAGTTTGGCGCTTCTTTCAAATTTCCTCCCATCAGTTTGGCTAAAGAAAGGAATTTTTCTCCTTTAGAAATGAATTGGCTTAATTAGTAAGTAGATTAATGGCAATTGCTGGTGAGTTGGTTTCCAGCAGAGTTTCACCAGAGAGGGTTAATCGGAGTCAGGTCTGGAACCTTTCCCAGAACTGGCTGCCAGCCATTTCCACCAACCAATCAACCCTACAAGGAACGGAGGAAATGAAATAGAATGTATATTCTGTGTCTTAGTATCCTGGGCGGAAATTCCTTGGAAGCATCCTCCTCGTTGGGTGCAATACTGTTTCATTTTAGGATTTTCACAGAAACTTTGACAGGTTTCACCTTCAAGATTTATCTGGGTACCAAAGTGGAATTTCAAATGGCACAGTGAGTGTCTCCACAGAACGCTGAGGGCGCACTGGAAGGGCCTGAGGCTCTAATCAATTTCAGGTTTACAGAGTTGCAAATCTCTCTCAAGTCCCGCCCTACATCAGTTATCCACCAGAAGCCTTAAGAAAGTTTAGTTGTATGTTTTGCAGCCTTTTCACTTACTTTTTCCAGAGTGATAAAAACGCATTCGTAGTTTAGGTTGCAGCTGCATTAGTCTTGCAAAAAAAAAAAAAAAATCCCTGCTGAGAAATGCATATAATAGGAAAAACAGATCGGCTGGACAGCAGTGTAATTAATGCCAGAAAGGGCTGAGGCCGGTTTCATAGTTTGTCTTTTGAGGATATCAAGACGAGACCTGGTGAAAAATGACGCACGCTTTAGCATTTCAGAAAGCTGGCAACTGGCAGCGCTTTTCCTTTTTTCTTTGACTTTCTGCCTCGGAACAAAGAGGTCGGCAGAACTAGCTAGGTTGTAATGAGTTCTATGTCCCTAGCACATTAAGTGCATCATGGAAACATATTGTATCGAAATAGTTTGGAGGAGAATACCGGGGATGAAAGAGAATGGGTGCTTTGATCAGCTCCCTGGGGTCCTGAGCGCGCACAGACTGACTTGCAAGGAGTTATTCAGCTCCAGCTAGACACACTTCCAACACCATTCAAAGAAATTTGCATATCTGTAATTTATCACACTGGTCCAGAACATTTTTGCAAGGTAAATAAAAGTTGGCTGAATAAAAAAAAAATCAATCATCGCAGATATAGAGGAAACTGTGCAGCCAGTCCGTCCATTAAAAACATAAATAAATATGCCCATAAAACACGATGATTTAGAGGCTGACTTTATTTTAAAATGTCCTTAGAGAGACAGGTTATGTGCTGACAAAGACAAGAGTGGCCACAATTTCTTTGCACTTCTACTTTAGAGGAGTGTATTTGCAGCTTCCCACTGGAATAAAGGCAGAAAGTTCAATGAGATGCGTGTGGCTATAACCAGCTCGCGACATGCAGAGAAAAATTAGTACACACTTTGAGAAGATGTGAAAGATGGCTTAATCTCCTTGGCGTCTGTGAGGGCTAATGTTAAATCTCATTTCTCCTCCTGTTGATTTCATTGCCAAGCCCTGGTTGCTGAATTTAGAAGCTCAAGAAGATGAAATGTCCCGACAGCCGGTCAATAGGAAAACTTGCTTTGGAATGCCCCATGAGAACAAGTGAAAACTTAACAGGCAGGCATTGTTCTGAGTTTTTAAACAACCCAGTTAAACAGCAAACAAGAATCTTCAACTTGACCTTGGAAAAGGCTGTGTGCCTGGAGATAATCTATCAAACAACTCTGGATGACAATGATATATTTCAAAGTATTGTCAGATGAAAAGATTGATAAATTTGCTGCCGCAAAGAGAGAGCTTTGGAAAAAGGCAACAGGGAATTTAGCACGTTGCTTCTGCCGCCTCATCCCCACCCCTCCAACCCGGCCTCGGGGCCAACCCAGTGGAAGAGGGCCAGTAAATCAGCACTGTAATATTTCTTAAGGGGCACAGAAAAGCTGTGAACAGTGCTTCTCATATTAAACGCAATATTTCTTTGCTTTCGTGGGGAACAAAAGTCATAGCAAGACGTCTTTATGGCTAATTCAGTCAAAGGCACATCTCAGTTCCCCCCGCAGAAAGGTCAGTGTCGTTGTGTTTGGTCCACTGAGGGGGTGTTTTCACACTGAAAACTGAGCCAGCTGTCCCTGTCATACCCTCGCCATTGGGGAGCACGCACTAGCCATGGTTATTAGGCACATTCTACACCTGCAAAATATACCAATTTCCAAGACTTTTCAAGACCCCCCCCCCCCCTCAGTTCTCATGCCTCCTCCTTTTTCGTCTACTAAACTTTGACAACACAATTCAGGCCCTGGATGAAAGCCGTGCAAGCAACAGGAAGGCTGGGGAGGGGGCGGCTCAGCTAGCTCTCATGGTGTCTATTGAGCAGCCATCAAAGACATGAGGCATCAAGTATGTTTTCAAAAGTATGGAAAAACTTGCAAATAATTGCTTAGAGGAATCACACACTTGCTATTGGCACGAATGCTAATTGTTGAACCTTACTATTTAATTGTATGCACCAGTGTTAGGTGTGGGGCTGCAGGCCGGCGTCCTTCATTTAGAAGTGGCTCTTTTTACAAATTGTATTTGTATTTAGCATGTCACGGATGGAAGTTGGAAGATAACTTTTTTCTGAGTTGCTCCAATGCGAGCCCACCTCTCTTTTTGAAAACCCAAATGCCAACGCACTGTTGTTATGTATTTCACAAGGCTTGCCCAACTAGATTTCGTAGTAAAACTCCTTGTAGAAACATCCGCTAGCTAGCCTTAGCATCAGAATCCAATTCCAAAGGCTTGCACACCAGAGGTGAGCTGTCTGGGAGACGCTCAGTTGCCCAAACAAGAAAGGAGCAAAAGGGGATCCTGTGCAATCGCTGAAAAGAAATCGTAAAACTAGAAATAATTCAGAAAAATTCACTTTAAGAGTGAGAATACCCCCAACTGCCACTTCCCCTAAGACGGGAGTGCGAAAGCAGCTAGCTTTCTCTAGGAGCGCGGGGGTGGGGGTGGGGAACTAGAGATTCTTATCTGGCTGCAGGGTGGGGGAAGGAGGGACGAGGAAGAGAAAAGAGAGGATTTAATTAACCCTTGGTGTGTCTCTAATCCCGATCTTTGTCTAATCCTTCCGCCCAAATTGCAAAGAGCTACGTGAGAAGTCCCCAGAGTGGGCAAAGCGCAAGAGTGCCCAGGACGCCTTGGGTCCCCCCGACACAGGCAAGGGTGAAGCACGCTGCGCGCCACAAGAGACGGGGAGGGGGTGACTCTCACTATCAGGGAACCCTAAATTCTCTCCTGGCGTCTGGGGGCCTCCACACACACCGCCACCATCCAGCAAAGCGCCGGCGCCTCTCCAAAACAATGTCAGCGCAACAGGCTGTTTGGAACAGGTGCCCACCCTCCAGAAAAGGGGTTGATGCGAAGCTGCGGGGATCAGACAAGGGCCAAGAACCCCCGAGAAGCAAGGGTAGATCCCCAGGGACCCGAAAGTAGAAGCGAGCCAGAAACCTGCGCCCCCGCTACTGCCACTGGTAGCGCTGGCACCTCGGCCCAGAGGCAAAACCAGCTCGCCACAGCCTGCGCCCCGGGCCACGGGGCCCTCTGCAGGCGGCCGCCCGAGGGCTTCCCGCGCGGCCTGGGGGCGTAGCTGCCCCGGGCCTCCCCAAAGGAAGCCTTGCGTCTCATCTCCTGCCCTCCTTCAGGCCGTTCGCCCCTCTCTCTGCTCGCCGCTTCCTGGAGCGCCTCTTGGAGACTTCCATGCGCAAAGATAGCAGAACTGCGGAGAGCCGGGCGCCGGGCAGCCACTTCCAGCCTCGAGGGCAGACAGACAACACACGAACCCCGACTGCCCTGGGAGCAGGGGCTAGATGGGCCTCCGGGGATACTTCTCCAACTCCACCCCGGCTCGCCCACACCCTGGGAACGCGGAGCAGCGGGCGGGGCGCATGCGCGCCTCCGGCCAGGGTCCCTCCCCAGCCCGCCGAGTTTGGGGAAAGTTTGGCGAGATTTGCCTTGGCAGAGGCGGACGTCCCAAAGGCCAAGCTGCCCTGGGGATGGGGCCAGGAGCCCCCCAGCGTCCCGGGAGCCGGCTCGGCGGGGGCCCGAGGGCTGAAAAGCGGCAGAAGGTGGGGAGAAGGAAGCCTTTTGTGTGTGGCACAGGAGAGTCACTTGCGCACAAACGCCGCAGCGCGCTCCGCCGCCGCCGCAGCCTCCTCCGCTGCACCTCCGCCTCCGAGGCGCTTCATTACAGCCGAGCCCTTCCCCCCCCCCCCCCCCCCCCCG